TACACACTTATTATCATTAGGAAGAAGAGTCCTCTTAATCTTTGTAACACAGATGAAAAAAATGTTAAAAGGAAATTAATATTACAGTAAAATATGGGAATGAAAGGAACACTAACATCCAAGATTTCTTTGTTGGCTTTGGGCGAGGTGTTCTCACGCAAAACTTTGATGGCCACTGGGATCTTGACATTCTCTCCATCAGGAGCCCAGATACCCTGGTGAAATGAGAGAAACTCTGCATGAATGCGGTTAAACTACATTACGAATGATAATGTAGAGCAAGGTTTCCCAAACAGGGGTGCACAAAGAGAGCTGCAGGGGGTTTGTTAAATTGATGAGAAGCTAATAATTAATTATAACAAATGTAAAATGAAAATATAGCTTATTACGATATAGCTTAGTGCGATTATTATCAAATCAAAGGCAACAATTTAATTAAATAATGTACAGTCTGATGCACTGCATATTTCAGTGAAGCACGGTAATGTTCATTACACATGAGAAGCTTACAATCCAGTGTTTTGTCTCAGAGTGGATTGATTGCCAGCAAATAATAATAAAATAATGACTATTAATAAATATTCATGTTTTATTTTAAAGTACTTTAAAGTAGTAATTTTAAACAGCAATATACTTCTTCTCTTCATTTTTATCATTAGTTATATTAATAATAATAATAATGTAATAATAATATTGCATTATAATAATACAAAATTACAATATTCTTTTATTTTAATATATAATATATATTTAAAAATATTGTATATTATATAAAAATAATATCATATTATCCAATCAAATGTAATATTAATAATATAATTTGATTATGTTGCTAAAACACCAGTGTGAAAGTAATATGGACTGTGACACTATCACAACTAAAAGATGTTTGAGTCCACATTAAAGCCCACTAACAAAGTCAAATTAAAACCCTTACTAAAAAAAAAATTAACATTTTATCTAGCTACTTGCATGTCATGCGACCATTAACCAACATCAAAGGACTATGAACATGTAAATGTGTTGTTAAAGCTGCAGTACATAACCATCCAGTGTTCAAAACTATCTCCTTACTTTAGCCTGATTCACAACGGTAAGCTTATAATAATATTTTCTAATTTGAGTTGTACTGGTACGTTTTCATGGGAAATTCGAGCATGCCGCCGCATCATTACGTCACATCTTGTAAACATAAAGAAGTTGTCCCGGCTAGTATAGGCTATATCGCATGTGAAGATGCTGCAGGTGGCGGATCGTTTATAGCCTTTTCTCACAGCAGCTGGAATAATTAAATTTATTTTGATGGCGGATTGTAATCCAGAAAGGATTATGTGTTTATAAAACACATGTAAATGACTGAAATTAGATTATATTCTAGTTTTAAATGTGCATCTGATTATAGATACGTGGGATTACACAAGATTTGTATTTTCTAGAATAATTTGCTTTTTGGGTTAAAATAATTTCTTTATATGAAATTCAAATGGTATGACCATTAGAGATTAGACTGTAAAGAAATTGAAATCTACATGTAACGCTAATACACACTACATACACATTGTCACGCAATGTCTGTGTTGTTAACATTAACAAAGGGAGAACAAAGTATAACAATAATAATAATTTGCAAGGTTTGATGTGATATGAACTAAGCGACTGTTAGATTTAATCACCATTGGTATCGCAATTTATTGTAATGCTTTTTTCCTCAGTTGGTCAGAAAAAAAGTGGCAGACTTGTTACTTACTTGTTCAGATGACAATATCTGGAGAAAATTCTTACTCGCTTCATACTTCCAAGACATAGTATCTGTGATTCCGAAGTACAGTATCCACACCATAGATATGTATGATCCACACCAGTGTGGTGACTAACAGCCACACATCAAAACATTAGATTCATCCACGCTGGAGCCGTGCACAACCCACGTAAAGAAAACAATTCCGCAGATAACTACAATTGCAGGTTTCAAACAGAGATGGCGACAAAGAGGCAAAACTTATGGACTGCAGCTTTAAATGACTGAAATATTAACATAAAATCTCAGGGGGTACGTCTAAGGGGTTCAGCTAACAAAAACATTTGGGAACAACTGATGTAAAGAAATACAATTTGAGGTTGAATGTTTAAGTTCGTCTGTGTACGGCTAATAGAGGTCCTAACTACACAACTCAAAAACATTCTACTTTGCCAGTTTTTAGACAGAAAAACTTGGAATAAAAGTATTAATATTTTCCCCGTCTGCTGACTTTATATATGCACTAGTGTTGAGACTATGAGTTTTTGTGGTGCGATCAGCCAGTCAGCACTGTCATGAAGTCATTTTCCTGCAGCTCCAGAGGCATTAGTCAAATTGCATTCTTTGCTCAGGTGACTGGATAAAAAATGTGTTTATGAGCTAAGATAGCAGTAGGCTGGTCACATATTTCCGGAGCTATGAGTGCCAGCTGAACAACTAATATTGATATGTTGAGGAATGGTAACAGATAACTGACCTTATAGACCGTGCCGAAGGCTCCAGAACCAAGCACTCTGAGTTTCTTCAGCTCGGTCTCCTTGAGAATACGCATCTGAGCCTGGTTTGGCATCGCTCCACTCGGGGTCAGGGGCTCCACCAGCTTCAGGAAAAAAATAAGATGCCTTAAGACTATGGTACTCAACATGTGAAGCAGTCAAATCAAACAGACTGCATAAAAAGTAGAAATAATTCACTACATTTAATAGGGCCAGGAAAACTACAAAGTTTTTGCATTTTGCAAAAGGTAAAAGGTAAGCAGCATAATTCTGCTGCCTTCAAAGATGCCTTATTTGGCCATTTCCATCCTTTTGCTGAAAGGGAAATCCCATAATGCACTGTGCCAAGCTCAGTGAAAATAGCCACCAAATATGATGAAAACAGAAAAATGTAAATGATTTATTACTAACTTAAAATATCAGGGGGACTTCAAGTAAATATTTTGTACAGTGTAAATGACATATAATTTCAAAACTGATTTAGTACGAAAAAATCTCTAAATTCGTATTAAAATGCACTATTTTCGCAGTATTTGCATGTGCTACGTTTATGCTTATTAGAGGATTGAGTTGATAGCTTGCAACATGCTGACTTCAAACTCAAAATCAGCTGAGTTTCTAAACATAGAATAGGCCCTTTGCTGTGTAAATGATGGCAGACAAATCCTAATGCATTGATCTAGCTGACAAAAGAAAGTTGGACAAGTTCACAATGAGTGATTTTTGCCGCGTAGTTTCAATAAATGCTTAAATAAAATTACAGTATGTTGTCTTAGTTTTAAACTAAGGATTGAAAAGCAATCTACATGCAAATGAAACACACTGCAGAGTTCTGACCTCATGCTCCTGTAGAATTCTCCTCATGGTTTCTTTCCTTTTGTGGTGTTTCTGTCGTCGCAGGTAAAACACCAGAAGCGCCAGCAAAATGAGAAAAAGAAACACTCCACCAACTGTGATTGCGACTGTTGTCCCAGGCCTGCAGGGGTTTACAACAAACAATTCGATTTAAGCAAGACTGTGCAGTCTATAGCTAAAGCTATACTGTACTTTACTACAGTACTAGTACAGTAGATTACTAACCAGACTTTTACATTTTCTAAATTTGAATGGTGTTTGACTGTGCAAAACACATCACAACAAGTCTAAAATGTTTTAGGGGGTTGGATTTCTACATTGTTGCTAGGGTTGTGGGTGATAGTCAAGGCTAACAAACCACCCCAAATGTCACGAAACCCTAAAATCAAGGGTAAACACATCCTATGATATTCAGGTTTCTGCCTTGTTTTATTGTCCACCAGAAGAAAAGAGGTACTCAGTTAACTCTTTTAAGATTAATACTTGAGATAGGTTTGCTCAAACCGTGAGCAGAATTAAAAGTGATGTACTGTAGACACTACTAATGCATATAATTATTATAAATACACACATTTGTCATTGATAAAGTCTTACCCAGTTTTCTTTTGGATGGGGCACCCTCTATCATCCAGTGGACACCTGACGGTAAACACAAAACAGAAAATTAATATAAAATCTTAAACTGTTGCACATGAGCTGATATTAAAAGTTGGGATCACGGTCCATGGGCTGAGCGAGGGACTCACAAGACGGTGCAGTTGCTCTCACAGGGCAGACAGTGTCCCGTAGCATTGAAGTACTTCCACACAGTGTGCTGGTCCTCTTTCACTCCACTGGGACAGCGCTCGACACACACGTCTCCATCTTGAAAGTGCAAACACTCCTTACAGTGTTCTGGACCCTGCACAAAAAACACAATTTAAACCTTAATTAATATAAGATTGTTAAGATGTAAAAAATCTTCATGTCAAAATAACACTTTGGCATGCTAATGAAAACTACATGTTGTTCTACCTGTATGACTATTTTCCAATGCAACACCAAAGAATATATACACAGTCAAAACAAAATTTATTCAGACACTTTCAACATTTCAAATATAACAGATACAATAAAAACCAGCAAACAAACAAACACAAGTTATATTACACAAGTTTTTTTACATTAACATATGATAAAAATTCTAAAACTTTTTCTGGCAAAATTATACTAAATCAGTCTGTGGTGTAAAAAGGTCACATTAGCAACTAAAGAAAAAACACCTAAGCAAAACATGGTCAGGTCAAAGTGTCTGAATAATTTTTGGTCCCAAATTTTTATAAATTTTACTGGTAGTCAAGACTTTTGGGGTATAATATGTCACAGTTTACTTTATTTTCCTCACTTACATAAATTAACTATAGTGTCCTGCACCCACTAGTAAAAAAATTATCAAAAATGATATCTGGTGTCTGAATAATTTTTGGTTTGACTGCATATACCATGCAATGTACAACAAATCACAATACATTTGATTTTTGTTTAATTTATGGTACATTTTTGTTATTTTTACAACATTAAGGTGAGTAATTAATGAATAAATTTGTATTTGAATAAATTTGTATTTTTGGTGACATTATATATTATTTAAAATATGTGTGTGTGTGTGTGTGTGTGTGTGTGTCTATCTAGTATTACCTACATTATGGGGACCAAATGTCCCCACAATGACAGTAATACCAGAGATTTTTGATCTTGTGGGGACATTTTTTGGGTCCCCATGAGGAAACAAGCTTATAAATCATACAAAATGTTTTCTGAACATCTAAAAATGCAGAAAGTTTTGCGTGAGGGGTGGGTTTAGAGGTAGGGTTAGGGCAGGGGTAGGCAAGTTTATCTAGTATTACCTACATTATGGGGACCAAATGTCCCCACAATGACAGTAATACCAGAGATTTTTGATCTTGTGGGGACATTTTTTGGGTCCCCATGAGGAAACAAGCTTATAAATCATACAAAATGTTTTCTGAACATCTAAAAATGCAGAAAGTTTTGCGTGAGGGGTGGGTTTAGAGGTAGGGTTAGGGCAGGGGTAGGCAAGTTCGGTCCTAGAGAGCCGCAGTCCTGTGTATTTGTTTCTGCATTAACATCTTACTGGGCCTGTACAGGAGGTAGAGTTGTTGACTGGTTTACACTCTGGATGGCAAGGGACACAGTGTAATCCATCCTCAAACTCTCGCACTGACCTGTGGGAAATGCATTTGAAGTACAGAAAACAGTAAGAGTTTAAAAACCACAACAGCATACGAGTCTACATTCTATTGTATGACATTAGCAGTTATTGATATATACAAAGTCTGAAACGGAAATAATGGAAAAGCCCTGTTCACAATATTCAACATTCTAATAATCTATATGATTCCTATGTGTACTTTAGTAAGTAAACATAACAAAGCACAAAAAAACAAGAAAATGAAAAAATATGCTTATTCATACAGTACTCACCCCTGTAGGACATTGCATTGCTGCACACACTCCGTCCCACGTTTGTAATTCACACATGACACACACTGACTGGGTCCCGGCCCCCAGCAGACTGCATCTGCACACAGGGGGTCACATACTCTCCCCTCTGAAACTACACAGAGAGAGAAGAATGTCCTGTGTTTGTTTCCATAGTGAAGCATGTCATGGAATATTACTCATTATGGGAAATTAAAAAGTAGGAACAAACACATTTTTTAACATAAGTTAAAAAATAAACTCAGACAATGCATACCCTAGTAAAAAAAGTAATGTATTTAAAATACATTAATTTCATACTAAGTATAGAGTAGTTCAAATCTATTAATATATTTACTTACATATCTCTCGAGACATACAGATATAAAAATTATAATTTAACCTTATTTGGACTACTTGTGCACAATGCACATTTTTTAATATTAAGCCTAAAATGTGTTTTAATATCACTATTAATGAGGACTGTATGATCTTTGAATAATATTGGTCTTTAAATGTAAGATTTTTAAAGTGTAGTCAGTATACCAAAAGTACGATTGCATATATACCAAAAGTACAGAGTTTTTTTATTAAGTACATAAATATGTAAATATGTTTGTAGTATACTTAGCATGAAATAAACATATTTCAAATACATTTTAGTGTAATTCGAAAACACAGACAGATTTGATGTTGTAAACTAAATAATGTTTGAAATCAAGTATCAGGCAATCAAGTTATTTTATCTGTCATATTTGATAACCATTTGGTTTAGTTGCTAATATTTATATGGCCAAAATAATATTAAATCAATAACTTGTAATGTAAACCAATGAGATCTTTATAACTTTTTATATCTTTATAATCTTTAGAACTCAGTATCTCACAATAATATATCTTTGTAAGTATTTGCGAGATGGACATATAAACATTCCTCAAAAGCCTGATGTATCATATTTGATACTCACATTTTTATCTAAAAACTATGTATGGATATCAAGTAAACCTAAGCTGCTTCAGCCCAGTAAGTGTTCATTTTAAAATATTCATAACAATATAAAAGCTATTCTTAGCTATTCGTTTCCTTCAAAAGAAAAAAATAAAATAAAATCAGTAAAAATTTCACAGAGAAATTAAATACTGGAAAAAAACACAACCTGAAGGTGGCGTTTTCACAGTTGTACCAAAAGGTGACAGAAGGCATGAAGAAGACTGTGTACAACATATTTTTCAGTGATAATAGTTAATTCAGAGGTCTTAGTTAGAAATGTGCATATCAAATATGATACAGTAGGCTTAGTAGGGTTACAATGCTGGTATTTAATGGGTATTTGCATACATAATATTTGAATTATGTTGTAACTGTTTTGAAAAAACGACAAGGTACTCAACGCCATGATGTGCATATAGTCACTCTGCCATGTGTCATGCTTAAAGATGCACAGTATTCATGACTGTATTGTACAGCATGCATCGCTCCAGTCAGACAAACATAAGAATGGGCTCTAACCACATGTTTGCTGGTCTTGGTTGTTGTTGCTGATGAGGTTGGGTCCCTGTGTGGGGTGGAGCAGTGAGTTCCAGGGCAGAGAGGAGGTGTAGCACAGTCTGGAGTTATTATAAATCAGTACTATGCCTCCACTGACACTGCACAAGGAACGCAACCCGAGAGACTCGATCTGCAAAGACTGAACTCCCAAAGAGAAAACACCCCTGCAGAGAGAGAAAGATGATTTAAATACATTAACTATATCACCAAGTAGATTACTAGATTTATACATTTAAGCAGAAAAACTGCTTAGTTTGCTTGTGCAAATGTCCTTGCTATAATGCTGAATTGTTCTTAGTGGGTTTCAAGCTACTAATCTATCATAGCCCCATTTGTGTGTGTCAAGCAAGTGTACAGGATAATCATTAACTTTTACAACTAACAGGAAACTGCAGGTTTGATAAGTCTAACTAGACATTAGACAAACAAGAAAAGTGGGTAAATAGTCTAGCAAATCACGTGTTTAAAGACAGAATTAGGAAACAGGAAATAAGGAACAAAAAGCAAAAGAAGAGATAGATTTCAAGTACGAACCAAAAACAGACAAACATATACTTACTTGTAAAGCATTCTTCCTCTGATCACCTTCAAGTTCTCAAAAACATTCAGATTAAACGAATAATCTGGCCATGCATCTATGTACAGGTATCCTAAAAAACAAATATAATGTTATTGCAAATGCAAATTTCATTTAATGATTGACTGGTACGACTAGTAGTGTTGTTATGCAGATTTTAGCTCAGATCTACGGTATAGACTTGTATTTCCTTTATAATCTTTATGATGTGAGTCCATATGAACTGTGATCTTCACCTGTGATTTCTTCTATTGTCTTTAACTTTTCCAGGTCGCTCCACTGCAGTCCAGATGAATTGGTAGCTGCATTTCTGTATTAACAACACAAGAGATTTTAATACAATAAGTGTAACAATAGGTACAGTGGGTACGGAAAGTATTCAGACCCCCTTAAATTTTTCACTCTTTGTTATAAGTTTTTCTTTTTTAATAAATCTGCAAAAATGTCAACAATTCTGTGTTTTTCTGTCAATATGGGGTGCTGTGTGTACATTAATGAGGAAAAAAAATTAACTTAAATGATTTTAGCAAATGGCTGCAATATAACAAAGAGTGAAAAATTTAAGGGGGTCTGAATACTTTCCGTACCCACTGTATAACAATACCACAGTCATGGATGAGGAATATTTAGATTAGAAGAAATGATTTAAAGTCAGCTAGTTATTCACCCTCATGTCATTGCAAACCCATATGACTTAATTTCTTCTGTGAAACACAAAAGGTAAAAAAAAAAAAAAGAATATTGCATCAAACATTTGCAAATATAAAGCACTGCACTGTTTCCATTCGATGTGTTTAAGAGAACAAAATCTTCACTTCCTGGGAATCTGGCACAAATCATGAGTAATAAAATAATAAAAAGGATCTTGCAACCAGGTAAGCCTGTGACTTTTAAACAATACTTTCACCAGACGAAACGCAATAACAAATGCTGTTACGTTATCTTGCCTTCAGAGGCAAATGCCTGATTTTGTGACACAATCATGAGAGACATAATTATATCATTTTGATCACTTTGGCTCAGGCATTTCAGGATGACATCAACAGATGTTGTGCAATGGGATTGATCTGCTGGTTAGGCCAGTTACTCCATCACATGATCTCGAGGCAAAGTCATGTGAGTTTTTTGCAATTTATTCTGTAAATACTTCCAGTGAAGTTTATGCACATTTCCTTATCGAATAAAAGCGATCGACAGTTTGAGAGCTAAAGCAGAGGGGAAAACTCTGAAATTTCAGTCTGTTTCTAACACAAATCTATCGCATGTATAAAGTTCATGTATCATGTGAATCACTTTTATAATACTTTTTTGTGTAGCTAAATGTTCTTAATAACTTCCTTTTGTGTTCCACAGAAGCAAGAAGACAGGCAACACGAGAACCAGTATTGGAATTTTTAGGTGAACAACTATCCTTGCTTACACTTTGAAGGAGTCTGAAAGAAAAGCCAGACTGCCGTAGATTTTCTCACAGCCAACGAACATGCCAATGTTGGTGGCATCCACCACTGACACCCCTTGAAGGTTTCCCATTCCTAGTCCATAACACACTAACAGACATCACATATGTAAATTAATATAAGATAAGAATAGGAGAAATGATGCTAACATATATAGTGTATACAAAGATATATATACACAACAACTGTTATGAAGTGCTTTTTCAAACATTTTGGAACTCAATGACACTTTAAATTGCAGCTTGAACCATTAGCATCATGTAGAAGCATATACAAACCTTTTGGACACTCTCCTTCACATTTTTCACATTTCTGTGTTTCTTTACCATCTGGCTCAACCGTAATAACTTCCTTGTTCGCTTTGGGACAGACCATTGTACATGCCACTTCCATTGCCAAATAGTTATCTAAAGATGTAGAAAGTACAACATATATCATACACACACAGAGAAAGAAAAATCAAGGCCTGTGGACATACAGTACAGCATGATATTTTGTTAGTAAATTAAAAGTTTGACATACGGGGACACTGTTTAACACATGTGGCTCCAAAGTTGAACTTTTTGTCCTTGTTGGGTT